CCCGCTCACAGTCAGAATGTCAGTTTCTGAAGTATTCTTGAGCTATAAAACTATCTCTAATTGAATGAATGTAAGGTAGAGCTGTTTAATGTCATACTCTGGAACACTCCAGGCTGGGCAAATGCAGATTTAAAATAAAATAAAATAAAATAAATAAATAAATAAAACATCTGTTCCACTGCATTCTTGTCTGTGGTGGATACCTCTGCCACCACTCCATAGTGTCAGTATTATTTAATTTTTATTATTATTTACATTAAGTTAATTACACTACACATAATTTAATTTCGTTATTTAGACTTATGTTCTAATTTGAGTGCACGCATTTTAGTTAATATAAGTCTAATTTACTTACACTTGTTCTTTTTGTTTTTTTGAGCACCGGATGGAGGACCCTGGGAGAGACCATCAGGACGCAAAGGGGGGGGGGGCACTATTTAGTTTGTTTTACTAAGTTAATTTGTTTAGTTTGTGTTAAGGTCACATTATTATCACTTATTATTTTCTGTATTATAATTATTTGCTTTTTGTTTACTTTGATTAAGTTATTGGTTTAGTTAGTTAATTAGTGTAATTCCTCCCTCTTGTGTTTAGCTTTTAGTTGGTCCTTAGGTATTTAAACACTCCTGTTCCTTTGTCTGGTTGGGTTAGTTTTGTTCTGTTCAGTTTGATTTTGAGTTACCCCAGTTGGGCCCAGCTTTTTTGTTAATAATTTGCCTAATTTGAGCCTTTGTTAAATTATATCTTTTTTGGCTTTATTAAATTTAAACTTATTTTTCTACCTTGTCTTTGCCTTTCTGTTTGGTCCACTACATTGTCAATGTCTCTCGGCGTCTGTCCCGACTGCGACCCTTCTCAAACTGTGTAATCTATATGCATTTCTATCGGGCTGATGTAGAGGTAGGCTGCTAAGGGACTTGGACTAAAAAAAGGGAATTTTTAATAGTCTCCAGTTCAGCGCTCTTTGCTATAGCTCATTTAGTGCAGCTCACAGACACTGCTGCTGGCTACCTGCTAATGAGACAGTCCAGCTCACCATAAGGAACCTGCTAACTCCACTCAGAATAGAAAATAAAGCTATAATCAAAGTATCTGGGAAAAGCCATAAATAAAAGGATCGGGCCAACGCAGAGGGCAATTTTCTGTTACACTTTATAATGACTACACCGTCCATAATTAGCCTTAATAGCATGAAGAAAGATTTACAGGAGCTGGACAAAGATTGTGCGCTTATAATCAGCCCGACTTGCCAGAGCCTTAAGGAAACATACATGTTTTTCTCGTTCGCAGTATACGGACAGGCCCAGGGGTGGAGTGGGCGTGGTACGCGGGGGTACGTCGTCCACAAAAAAAAATAACAAATATAAAATAGCGACAACTTAAATGTCAAACCGGAGCGACTTTTCGGACACCCTGCTCCATGGGCTCGGAGTTCTCTCTTCGCTCTCAAGTCCAAGATTAGTCCTGGTTTAGATGTGCTTTAGTCCTGGTTTAGTTCTGTTTTAGTTCTAGTTCAGTCCTGTTTCAGTTTTTTTTTAGTCCTGGTTCAGTCCTGTTTTAGCCCTGGTTTAGACCTGGTTTAGTCCTGTTTCAGTTCTGTTTTAGTCTTGGTTTAGTCCTGGTTTAGTCCTGTTTTAGTCCTGGTTTAGTCCTGTTTTAGTCCTGGTTTAGTCCTGGTTCAGTTCTGTTTTAGTCTTGGTTTAGTCCTGGTTTAGTCCTGGTTCAATCTTGGTTCAGTCCTGGTTCAGTCCTGTGTTAGTCCTGTTTTAGTCCTGGTTTAGACCTGGTTTAGTCCTGGTTCAGTCCTGTTTTAGTCCTGGTTTAGTCCTGGTTTGGACCTGGTTTAGTCCTGTTTTAGTCCTGTTTTAGTCCTGGCTCAGTCCTGTGTTAGTTCCGGTTTAGACCAGGTTTAGTCCTGGTTCAGTCCTGTTTTAGTCCTGTTTTAGTCCTGACTCAGTCCTGTTTTAGTTCTGGTTTAGTCTTGATTTAGTCCTGGTTTAGTTCTGTTTTAGTCCTGGTTTAGTTCTGGTTTAGTCCTGGTTTAGTCCTGTTTTAGTCCTGTTTTAGTCCTGGCTCAGTCCTGTGTTAGTTCCGGTTTAGACCAGGTTTAGTCCTGGTTCAGTCCTGTTTTAGTCCTGTTTTAGTCCTGGTTCAGTCCTTTTAGTCCTGGTTCAGTTCTGTTTTTAGTCTGGTTTAGTCCTGTTTAGTCCTGTTTTAGTCCTGGTTTAGTCCTGGTTTAGTCCTGGTTCAGTCCTGTTTTAGTTCTGGTTTAGTCTTGATTTAGTCCTGGTTTAGTTCTGTTTTAGACCTGGTTTAGTTCTGGTTTAGTCCTGGTTCATGTGTTTTATGTTCTGTAGGTGATTATAAACAGCGTTAATGTTAATATTCCCTCCCTGAGCTGCAGAGGCTGCACTAGCTCTGACTCATGATGCTGCAGGGGCTGAGGTTTAGGGAGCGACCATTCAGATCCGAGAGAGGCCTTTTAGGTTTGAACCAACTGAATTTCAGCATTGAAACTAAGGGATTAATGTGAGGCTCATTCTACTTTTTACTTTAGAGCCAAAACATGTTCTCAGTACATTTTTTGTGTGTGTTTGTAATTAGAAAAATCTATATTTGATTTGAATATTACCTCATTTATGGAGACATATTGGGTTATATTTATGGACTTCAAAATTAAAGGTTTAGTAACTTAATTAAGGAGTTGGGTTGAGGAGTCATGGTATTAATTAAGCAGTTACTAAGCCTTAATCATTCTTAATAAACTATTTGTTCATTGTGAATTAAGTCTTTCTTCAACTTTTCTTCCCATAATGCCCATAATATTCTTGTAACACATGAAATATACTGAAAAATAAAAGTACAAGTACACATATTTACTATTTAAGTCTTTATAATTTACAGTTTTGTACAATAACGTGCTGATGAGACATTATACGTGACATACCACTGTACTATATAAACATTACTGGCCTCTTGCAGTTAGCTTAAAATGCCCACAGACAAATACACGTATCATAAGCTGTATCAAGTACTCTGTATACTCTGTACACAAGTATTTTATCCTGAGTGATATAGACCAGCTATTTCTACATATAACATTCTTGTTAGACTTTTCATATATCATAACATATATCATCATATAAATATTTGTATCTTAGGCTATAATTCTGAACAGAGTTTTCACCGACAATAAGAAAAAAACAAAAAACAAAAAGAAATTGTTCATGTTATTCAGGCTACTATATTATTGTCTGTATATAATAATTTGCTGTGCCAAAATGATAAAAATTTACATCTCAAAATATCAATAAGTGCGTATACCTGCAGATTCAGTGTCCCGGTTATGGCAGTATTCAAGATACTGTGTATAACATGCATGCTGAGAAACTGGAATATCCCTGTGTACATGATCAAATGGAGTATCCCGGTTTCTTGACACAATCTTACAAATACGCAAGAGCAAATGAGCTCCTTTAACATAGGAAGCTCGGGAGGTTCCTAACCAGCGGTAAAGAGCTGTGATCCACTGCGCAGATCAAATCGAACGTTTCCAAACACTGTACAAGTTCTACACTGCAGATTCTTCATTAAAATCTTCTGCATAAATAAACTCAATTTTACAACATAAACCATAACCACTACAGAGCCACGTCAGCCCATTTGATAAAATAATTCAGCTTTGATCACATTTGTTTACATTTTACAGAAACAAAACATTTACATAAACTATAAGCGCTGATAAAATCAGCTCGCTCCTTGTGCCGCAGATGTGGTTCAGCTTCTGTCGGACTAAAGGACACGACTAGGGATGGGCATGATTAGTCGATTAATCGATAATTGATCATTAAGAATTTCATCGATTACGTTCATTTTAATCGACAAACCGAATGTAGGTTGCTGTGTGTAGTGTGACCAAACAGGTCTGTACATGTGTCTCTGCACTCAGAAGGAGCGAGACACAAACAGTCAGTCAGTCTGCAACGTGCCGAAGCACAAATGCACATTTAACGATGACTTGTGCAAGAAATTCCAAGCTTTCCGTTCCCGTCGGGACAAGTGTGAGTCCATGTGCACAGTTTACAAAGCAGCACATATGTTTCGGTGTCCAGTGGGAAAACGTTTTGCCAGGTGAGAGTCGCTCAATGTCGATGACGAGGCCCCACCTCCCTCCCCCCGTACGGTGTCCTGGTTTTGACAAACGTAAATCTGGTCACACTAACCTGTATTCCGCATCAGCGCACAAGAGCTGTTTTTTTTTCTTCACTTAGTTTATGCAAATTAGCGATGCGGTTTTAAGTTTGTTTCTGTGAGAGTTGCGCAAAGCTGCATTAAACACATTATAATGTCACACAGATTGATGTGGCTCTAGAGTGGTTACGGTTTATATGTGGTAAAGTTGAATTTATTTATGCAGATTAGTAGTGCAGATAGTAATAATAATGATGATCATTTTAATATAAAAACGTTAATGATTAATCGATAATGATCGTTAATTCTCCTGACGATCGATTAAGAAAATTTAATCGAATGCCCATCTCTAGACACGACTCAGTGGAATATTTGTGTTTTTCTGTGACAAGGGGGGGTGTTCTGATGATGGTGAGTTTGTTCTGTGTGTATATCGTACAGGAGATGGTTCATGTTTAACTTTCAAAGATCAGATGAGTGAAGATTGTACGGTGCAGGTTTAGTGCAGCTCTTTATTTAACATTTCACTCATGTATGGTCACTTTATTTATGTCGCTATTGTTGCAGTGAAAAGACAGAAATTGTTTGTCTTTTGGACTCATGTGCACTCATCTTTATGTTGCAGTAACCAGGATACTGTGCCACAGTATCCCGGTTACTATTGGAATATACTAGCTGCAGTATCCCGCTTTTTCCTAACTGGGACACTGAAACTGGGAGATTGTGTATACATGTATCATGAAGAAACTGAGATACTCAAAAGACTTGATCATAACCAGGACACTGATGTGCATGTACTCAGAGTCTTTTCATATAGAGTCAGTTTGTTCAGGCACTATGGTGAGAGTGATCTCCTCCTCTCTTCTCCTGATGGTGAGGGACAGAGCAGCAGCGTTCTGGACCTTCTCCGTCATGTCCTGTGTGCGCTGGACCTCCTGCCCGTTTACGGACACGATCACGTCCTGGTTCTGGATCCCGGCCCTGGACAAAAGCAGAGGACACAAGGCTCTAGGTCAGATTAATCCGTGTATTATTTGATCATTCATTTTTCAAAATAAAACCAAAAATAAGAAAACAAAGAAACAACTATTTTTTTTCATTATTTGTCTCCCAAACCAAAATGACAAAAACAATTTGTTTTTTCAATTTCTAATTTTGTGTTTAAATGAATAATGAAAAAAAAAAAGGATAATCTGAAACATTTCCCGTTTCCATGACTTGAACTGCAACGCTGGGGTCCTGTCATACGGACTCAGGACTAAAACAGGACTAAACCAGGACTAAGCCAGGTCTAAAACAGGTCTAAAACAGGTCTAAAACAGGACTGAACCAGGACTAAACCAGGACAGAACCAGACTAAACCAGGACTAAACCAGGACTAAACCAGGACTAAACCAGGTCTAAAACAGGTCTAAAACAGGTCTAAAACAGGACTGAACCAGGACTAAACCAGGACTAAACCAGGACTAAACCAGGTCTAAACCAGGTCTAAAACAGGTCTAAAACAGGACTGAACCAGGACTAAACCAGGACTAAACCAGATCTAAGTCAGGTTTAGTCCTGTTTTAGTACTGTTTTAGTCCTAGGATCAGTCCTGGTTCAGTCCCTTCAGTCACGGAAACGGGAAACGGCTGTCATCCGTTTTTCCGTTATTCATTTAAACACAAAATAGAAAACTGAAAAAATGAATCGTTATCCTTTTTTTTTTTTTTTTTTTTGTTTGTTTGTTTGTTTTTTGGGTTTTGGAAACAAATAATGAAGAAAATAGTTGTTTTTTCGTTTTCTTATTTTTGGTTTTATTTGAACAAATGAATGAATGATACACTGATTCAGATTTGAAAGGGACAATACATCAAACATCATCAGAGTAAAATGTTGTCCCCGCTTGCCTTAAACCTAAACCATGCTTGTTTGTTTTTTCAGTAAAAAAAAAAGAAAAAGAATATTATTATTTCTAGAGTTCTTAAGGTGTGAGTGTGACATCTATAACAATGATTAAGTGTAAAACCAACTGAGCCTGACATTCCTAGATATTTGCAGTCCATCATTCACAGATAAACGTCACATCTGTTGAGTGTTCCAGCTGCAGCTTGGAGGCAAACACTGGTGACCTTTAGGCAGGTTTGTTCACGTCCAGAGGTTGGGGGTACGAATCCTGTGGGACAGACTAAATGCTGCCTGTTCAGGGATCAAAGCGTGGTCCTGCTAACATGACTAACATTTACACAGCAGGTATTCAGACAGAGCGATGGACTGTGCCGACAAGTTCATAACATGCACCAGAGTCACCAGCACAAACACACAAAAACAGAACAAAAAGAAATATTGACCCTATTAATGCACATTTTTGAATATTATTATTAGAAAAAAAAAAAAAAAAAGACAAACTATTTTAAATGGGGTCAGCAATTGATTTTGATTGAATTGATATGCAATTTAAGGCAATTTTTTGCACTCAAATATGTAACTTTCATCCAATGACAGTGAAACATTATTCTACCAAGGTCCGCAGTTCAATTCCTGGATTACCGTATATGCTGTTGTTGTGTCTTTGGGCAAAACACATGACACCTGCCTTGCGGATTTGTAGCCTTGATAATAATGATGTGAATATGTGAAATGTGACTGTACATGTAGAAGCATTACAGGAGCGGCTGCCTGTAGAGAAAGGGAACAACCATTTCATTGAAGTTTCAAGTGAACATTTCTGAACTTTCAAACTTGAAAATCACACCTCAGATTGTGTTCTGCTTTATTCATGCTTATTTGATGAATCCTTGGTTAGTAAGTTAAGTAAGCGCCATAGAAACATGTGATTTTGAAATTCTCAGTATTCACAGGTGAAAGCTCAGTGGTCTCTATACATCCATACAGTCTGTACTTCAAAATCGGAGCATTTCTGCAATCTAATCATGTTCATTACCACTGCATGCTTCTGTTAACATATGGGGAAAAGCTGTTTAATCCACCTGAGGTTTGTTAATTGAATTATCACCCCTGTAGCCAGAACCACACGTCTATTATTAGAAAAAAGTAATTGTTTTATGTTTTAAAACATGGAATGACAGGTTTAAATGACAATAACTATAGAAACAATTCATGATATCCGTCCATCCATTTTCTTCTGCTTAACTGGGGCAGCAGTCAAAGCAGGGACTCCCAGACTTCCTTCACCCCAAACACTTCCTCCAGCTCCTCTGGGGGTACCCCACAGTGTTCCCAGGCCAGCTGGGAACATCTCCCTGTGGGACATGGGACAAGCATCCGGAACAGATGCTCGAGCCACTTCAACTGCTCCCCTTGACATGGAGGAGCAGCGGCTCTACTCCAAGCCTCTCCTGTGTGACTGAGCTCCTCACCCTATCTCTAAGGGAGCGCCCAGCCACCCTGCGGAGGAAACTCATTTCAGCTGCTTGTATCCGTGATCTCGTCCTTTTGGTCAAGAGGTCATGACCATAGGTGAGCTACATTCTTGTAGACTGAGCGGTAAATCGAGAGCTTTGCCTTCTGGCAAAAGGTCCGATACAGCAACCGCATCACTGCCGACACTGCACCGGTCCACCTGTCAATCTCACGCTCCATCCTCCCATCACTTGTGGACAAGACCCTGAGATACTTGAACTTCAAGTTCAAGTATCTCAACTTGAACTCCTCCACTTGAGGCAGGGCCTCTCCACCCACTTGGAGAGAGCAAGTCACCTTTTTCCTTTTGAGCATCATGGCCTCGGATTTGTAGGAGCTGATTTTCACAAAGTATAATATTTGTTTTTATTGTTATTCCTGTATATGTCACCTGTCTATGTAAAGAAAGAACAAATGCAGTTCCGCCTTTTGCAGTCACTTTGTCAAACCAAGTTAACAAAAAGTCATTAACTTTTCATTTGACTCACTGAAGTTGTGTACACAAAGTATAAACAATGAGTTATACCTAGGCAACAGGTTTGGTTTATTTCACTTTATTTCTGATCCTGTTGCTTAGAAACTGACACTTCCCACAGGTGGAATTTTGGGTAATCTTCTCCAAATGAGATCTGATGTAAGAGGTACGGAAGAATTTATGTAAGTAAAGTACATTTCAAGATGTTAAAGATTCATCAAAGAGACAGTAATTAATTTGATTTCATTTTTTTTTCTAAACCAGACAGTTCCAATAATTGCCCATCTGTGAATGTATGTTTGATGTCTACATGGATTTCTTAAAGTCATGTAACAGCTGCATAAGATTAATAGAAAAGATTTATCCACCATCCATTCAAGTCTTTAGTGCTCCAGATGTTTTTCCTACATAACCAAGTCCACAGGGGCATTTTAAAAGGTAAAGGACATTTTTATTTACATGTAAAATTAAATTGTGTACATGACCCACAGCGATAGTTTCTAAAGGGGGTCTAAAAATGTCCTGTTTCTGGGAAGAATCAAATCAGACTTTACTAGCATTTGTCTGAAGTTTAAAGATGTTTGTACACTACTTGAGGAGGCTCCTTGAACACATTTTGTAGTGATGGATCTGCGTTCACAATGTACCAGTGCTTTCTTAGGATGTTTTCAATGTCTTTTCCTTGGCAGAATATTTTAAAGAGGACCTGCATACATTTTGAGTCTGTTTGTCTTTTTTGTTTTGGAGTCTTTTTTGTCTTTTTCGCTACTGTGTTATAGCATCAAATCTGTTTCTGGCTCCTTGACAGATTTTTTTTTCTTTTGTTGCCTACTTTGTTTTCTATGGCTTCATCACACATTTGGGGGGGAAAAAATGTCATTGTTTACAAAGAGAACCATAGACTGACCTGGCTGCAGCAGTGCCTGGGATAACTTCATAAATGTACACCCCCGAGTCCACATCTGGAAATGAGCTGTCTCTCATCTTCAGATTATCAACCAGACTAAAACAAAACAAAAAAACACATAATTTAGTGAATACAAGTGACTTTAAAATGACAATAATGACAACGCTTACGATGGTGTGAGCGTCAACATCCGGACGCCAATAAACTTCTTTTTCGATGGAGCATTCCCTGTGATTACAAGGGAATAAATCAGTAGAGGTCACAGTAGAGGAGGACAATATGAACATTTTAAGATCAAAATGACGAGGCTCACAGCAGATTTTACAGAGAAAGGGGTGACGTTTTTTCAATCAGTCTATGACTAAAACATACAAATCTTTATATATACTGTATATACTGTATATATACATACATATATATATATATATACTGTACTGTGTGTGTGTATATATGTATGTATTATATATGTATATGTGTGTTTTTGGTTGAAAGTATATTTAGTATGCATAGAGTATCATTTATTTTGCTATATATAAACATTTGTAAAGTTCTGTGATCAACCACATCATTTTTGAAACTACGTAATGAACAGGGGTGGCTTAATATAAGTTTTTCATCTTCTCACACCTTTTTGATAAATGTGCTTTTCTGTTGTTTACAGTATACATCTAGTATACATGATTATTGTGTCTCTCTTGGCACAAACTCGAAATAAAAACTAATCAAAACTGATACTCATTACTCCACTTCTGCCTCGGGAGCTCAAATCGACGGCATTTAAACTGTAGCAGCTTGGGGGTTGTGCGCACACGCAGTAGCGCTAGAAGCTCAAATCGATAGGAACGCATTGCCCTGCCACGTCCAAACAGCCCCCACAGTGAAGTGTTTTAAATCTCGTAGTAAGACCCACTTTTACTCTCTGTGTTAGTTGTGTGGTCCTCTGTGTCTTTATTTTTATTATTTATTATTATTTTATCTATTGATTGTATTAGTTCCTTTTGTTCCAAACATAATTCAGTTGATCTTTTTAGAGTTAAACATTTTACATTGCTATATGAAGCACTTTGGAAACTGTCTTGTTTATAATATATGTGCTATAGAAATAACATTGACTTGGATTGGATGTATGTGAGTGTTTCCATTCGCCATAACCATCTTGAGTTTTCATACTTGAAATCGCATTATGTTCCACTTCACTTTTGCCTCCAGATTTTTGTTTGTTTGCTTGTTTTTAAAGTATCTGCTCAGATTTAAAGTAGTTTCATACCGGTGCTGTTTTCATGACTCACCACTGCGCTGTCTGTTGTGCGACTCTGTGAGAAACTGGCGTATCCTGTCTGCTGGGATGGCAAAGGAGATCCCCGCTGCTACTTTCAATGTGTTCACTCCAATCACATCTCCGTCCTGTCACACAGACATTCAACACCGTCAATAGAATACAACAATATTAGACCAAGGAAATGCTGTTTGCTGTTATGTGAAAGCTTACGGTGCCATGTTGTGTAGCTACCAATGGGTTTTGGTTCAAATAGTAGAGGGTTTGATTTCCAGGGCAGATGGGACATTTCTATCCTGGCAGAAGTCACATTGATATCTATAAAAGTCCACTCGAGTCGCTGAGGGGGATGTAGTTTGTGAAAGAAGAAGGAGGAGTAGAGACATCTTTCCCACAAATGCACAAAGCACTTTACTTTACATAAGAATTACCCTGTTTGTTTGGGTGTTTTTGTTTTTGTTTTTTTTTGTTAAATAAAGGTTCAACTGTTTCATATTTGCATTTGTTTTTATCCTCTTGCTTGCGTTGTTTGACTTGTGTATTTTAGGAATGGACATGAAGCTCCTCCCCTGTTACGAGGATGACCCACAGGACGTTTTTTTGGTGGGTAAGCAGCTCACCTGTCCACGGCGTGAGAATTAAACTGGCATGAGACGGGAAGATGGACTGGAGGGAGGATACATTGGCATTAGAATGTGAATCGGGACAAATTTTTCTGTCCGAGCCCGGCCCACGTCCGACAGAGCAGAGATCGAATCCAAGCCGAACCCGATAGGCATTAAGATATCTGAGTCTGAATCCGACACGGTTAAAATCACAGTATTTTCATAGGCCTATTAATGACACACTCAGGATATTGTTTGTGTTCCTCTAACGGACACAGAGACACAAAACACAAACTCAGAATATAGTGAAAATAATACGACATTTATTCCTCACCTTTCGTAAAGTGGTAAATTAAAATGCAGCATCTTATCCACATTATCCACAGAAATTGTCCTCTGCAAATAATGACATCCAGTCCATAAAACAAAGCTGTGAATCCATTTTGAGGTGTTAAAAGTAAAAAGGCGACACATCCACACAGCGCACAGATCGAGGTGAAGGTGCAGTTTCACAATAGTGGCTCTACTTCCTGTGGACTTTACTGCCAATTTTTTATGCTTTAAACATCACGTATCTGAAGTTTTGCACCACATTTCACAAATAATAATAACACAATTTGGACTTGTATCTAAACTAGAAGTGCAGAGTCTGATCTTTGAACACTTAAGAGTCTCAAAGTGAGTTGTTTTACTGTAGACAGGAAACAGCTTTTGCACTGATGTTTCCGAGTCCAACCCGAGCCCAAATATAAGTTCTAAATATTTGTCAAAACCCGTCTCTGTCGGACTTCGGTCATGTTTCCATGCTCTAGTGGGCATGTGGGCCCAGAGTGAGTTTAATGACACAGTAGGCGTGGGCACAGACAGAAGCCAAAAGAGAGTGTTGGTTTAATGGGGATAAGGGCAGCACGGAGGAGCTGCGGCAGGGACAATGGCAGGCCCAACGGCAGGCCCAACGGCAGGCCCAACGGCAAGACCAACGAGGCACAAACTGGACCCACGCAACAGTAGCTCAGTTGGTAAGAGTGTTTGTCCACTGATCAGAAGGTTGGCGGTTCGTTAACGTGTGTCTCAATGGGTGGATGGTTCCTCGATGTAAAATACTTTGAGTGCCTTGAAGGTGGAAACTGTATAAAAACGTGACCAATTTACCATCTGGGAATAAAAGAGGTGACCATTTTAGCATCTGGGAAGAGCACCACGATGCAGAACACAGATGGATCCTGCCTCGTGCGTAAGTATTCAGCGCACATTGCTGGTGGTGCTCACAAGTCGGTCTACGGCTACAAGTTCAGTCTGGGGCACAGACGGTTCTAGTTCTCCATGAGCGTAAGTGTACCTCAGAGAAGCGCAGTTAACTACTTTTACCTTGTTTGTCCCTCGTCGCTGATTTTTTTCTTAGTTTGCACCTAAAGAAGCTAGAACTGTATTTGTATTTATTTATTAAAGGGACAATACACATTGAAAGACAAGATACAAAAATACTTGTAAACATGCAGGATTGTAACCAAAGCTGATTTCCATCTTTAGTCCTTGCTGGACCAAGGCCAACTATGTCCACTCTGCACCTCTTACCTCAGGACTAGTTTTAGCTGTATTTTTTATTTTTTTTATCTTAGCACATTTTAGTTTTACTCAATTTAAGTATACATTTCCAATTTTGATATAGATTATCCATCAGTATCTGATTTTTGATACTTTATGTTAAATTATACACCTTCCGGATCAACCCCAACCTTGACCTCCAGTATGGTCTCCAAAACATTAAGTCACATGACACGCAAATCCAAATAGTTTAATAAAATAATTTACAACTCCATCCTCAAACCTAAATCAAAACAAAGAAAACAATAGCCAGGTCAGGCCCAGAGGTGTGAAAGCTCCATTATGGCCCTGAATGGTTATGCTAATAAGACCCAAGCCCCCAGGTTCGAAAATGGCCGACCATTCAAGTCAACGTGCTGAGCTCAATGGAGCATGATCCCAGGTTAGCCTTTAGCCCGGCTAGGTACTTCCGGTGGATGTGGGTGGACCGAGCATGTGTTGTAGTGTCTTTTCTCCTGTGGGCACACACGAATGCACGCGAAAGCACGCACGGAGCATGGACTCGTGTATCACGTGATCACTTTGACCAATCAGAGCGAGAGGAGCTAGAGCGGACCAGAGTGTAGCCGGAGCGAACGATTATAAAGCGTTTTTTAAGACAACTGAAGGATTTTGAGCTGAGAAAAAGTTTATGATCTAAAAATAGGTAAAAATCACAACAAAATCCGACATTTTTGAAAGTTGTAAGTGCCCTGTCAGCCAAACACGAGCAGTTTGTGATTACATTGCGCTCTATGAGAAAAATCTTCTCTCAGCTCGGGATTTTTTCCGCTGTAGTACCAGTGAGTGACCACTACGTCAACTCGAGGCAGCTACATGCAGCAATACCCTATCCAGTTATTTTAATAGATCTATGATAAGACCCCACACTCACGACAGATGAATAGGTCTAGCAAATAAACAGAAACTGTAAACAAGTAGGTGTGTTAGTTTCAGAGTAGTTTCATTGTAGTTAGCTCCTCCCTGCAGACAGATATAAGGAAGTGTCCACCAGCGACTGACCAGAACTGAAGAAGCAGCTTGGATGAACCTGCGAAACGTATTCGACCAAATAAACTTTTGTTCAATTGACAAATTAAATTTCTCCTTTTGCTATGTAATGAGTTAAACACTGACCAAATAAAAACACATGAACATGAACATCTGGCCAATTTTAGTTTTATCCAATTTTAGTATAGATACCTTAGATACTTGTATATGTATATATATATATATATATATATATATATATATATATATATATATATATACACACATTTTTTTTAATCTTGGCCCATTTTAGATTTATCCAACTTTAGTATACTGTAGATATCCAATTTTGGAATAGATTTCAATTGGTATCTGTCTGATTTTTGATACTTTTGACAACCCAACCACTTAAATGAACATACTCCACAACTGGCAAAAAAACAAAGGAAATATTTATCAGCTACTTCGTCCAAGTATTTATAGGCATTCTAACTGGGTCATAATTACACTTAAACGTTTCAGTTGTTTTGTTATCCGCTCAATCTTTGCCCGTCTGCCCACACCCAAAGCCTCCACACTGGAACACGACTCACCGCGCGTTACGAGGGAGTCGATGTTCGCAGATGCTCAGGGCTGCAACCTTGATAAATAAAAGCACGGTGAAGATAATTTGAAAATACAGCCGCTATGCAAAGGGCCTTTCTAATCAGCGCCGAGAAATGTTGCCACAGCGACTCGAACTGACAAGAAACATGACCCCAGCGTTCGCCGCCATTAATAAAACAAGCAGCACCATCACACCGCAGCCCAAATGCAAATGAATGGTATTATCCCTCTGACATGAGACATAAATCCTCTTACCAAATTGACAAGAGGGCCGCCGGAGTTGCCATACTGTGAAGACAAAAAAATGGAATTAGGGAAGTTGACTGTGACTGTTTTGTGACATTGTTTGTTTGTGACCAGGCTGTGATATTAAAGGTCTGATATTATAAATAATTCAGGTGTTCTGGGAAGACTTTGGGGCACCTGTGCATTGGTATTTTACTTTTTGGAGATTTAAATTAAGAAAAAAAGTAGTTGCTCAACACTGCTGGTCGCCTTAGAAGTGAAGCTGTGTAAATGAGGCTAAAACAATAGCTGCTTGTTTCAAAGCTTAAATCATATATAGTATTCTTTTGCAACCAAATGAAGCAGTCATTGCCCAATTTGGAATCTTACCCGATTTGGCAGTTTGGCACAAAGGCTGAAATCGCTATAATAACCATGGATACGTCAAATCAAATTTTTTAGATTAATTCAATCAAATTTACTCATGAAATCTGTTTTACTGTGAAAAACTTGCAAACTGTCTGTGAAAATTAAGCATTTAAACTGTTTATAAATGTTAGAAAAGAGAGCTGAGCTAAAGGAGCCAGGCTGGTGCCACCTAGTGCCTCTGCTCAATTTAATTTCTCTCCTGCGACTAAGTCAGAAATTAGAATACACTAGACGGTTTGCAAAAACCCCAGAAGTGCAAGTTTGGGCACCAGCCAATCAGCGAAGAGCCATATATTCTGTGTTAGCAACGATTCCCGAGATCCAGAATTCAAAGCCGGAACAAAGAGAATGTTTGGTGAATTTTATCAAGGGGAAAGACGTTATTGTCCTTCTTCCTACGGGAGTTGGGAAAAGCTTAATATACCAGTTAGCCCCGTTAGCGGCGCATTACATACGTCACAACCAAATAACAACGATTGGTTAAATGAAAAAAGTACCTGCCTACCGTCGAGTGAACGAATTTGAATGCTGTGAGGTCAGACGGTTTCTATAAAGTGAAACCAGCTGATCAATCAGACTAGAGCCAAAGGTGCACCTTGTAAGTTTTTGATCAGGGGTCCATCACCTGCTTGTTTCTATGGATATATCAGTATTCTGCCTGGAATGTTTCACAGTATGACATGAAACAGTTCTGTCTTACATTTATTAAATTATAGCTCAAAAATACCTAAAAAAACAGACATTCTGACTGTGACCGGGGTCTCCTCTCCACAGATCTGACCTGTAACTTGGTCTGGTTTGGTCTCCATGTATGTAAAAAGCTTTAAAATCATACTGTGAAACATTCCAGACAAAGCAGTAATGCAATAATAAAAGCTTTTGACGGACCCTCCACCAGAAAAGAGGCACAATGCACTTTTAAGTTTGACTGCAGAATTAAAACAGCCAACTTTGATGATTCTGGTCAAATATGATAATTTTTCTTTGTATTTCCAAGAATAAATCTTTGAAATTGTCGAATTTTATACACAAATTTTAGCTTAGGAACACAGAATAGAGACATTTAAAAGAGTTAAACAGCTTAAATTGAAGAAGTGCCAAACTGTGCCAAATCGGTGACTAGTTTCCAAACAACTTCCATATTTGAAAATCCAAGTGCGCAACCAAAGACCCAATAAGGAGCGAGGTTGAAGGTACTCGCCCCATCCCACCTGCTGGTTTGGCGGGGTCTGGCGCTTAGCAACGAGGCATGATAGCTGTAAACCAAGGAAGATCTGCAGGGAAAAGGCCCCTAGTTCGTCTGTTATTATTTATACTGTGGCAGTAACTGAAAATAAATATATAAATTAACAAATACACAAATGAATAAATTAATGTAATGCCTGAATAATGCACAATAAGACCTTGAATATCACAGTGGTCATGTCTCATTTCTGTTTCCTCGCTTCCTTCTCCTTGATTCCTCTCCTCGCGCCTCCATTTTTCTGCTGTCACTCAAATGTGTCATATACAGTTGCAATCAAAATTATTCAACCCTAATCGTAAGTTAGGTTTATTGGTAAAATGTACAATCTGGCAGCTGTTTACAAAAAAGAAATCAGACAAGAACAATTTAAATAGCTCAACGCAACTAATATTACAAGTGGTTTCTCCAAATGAGTTGCATCAGGAGTGCTGGACATAGAACGACTCAAATATCTGAAAAGAACAACCTGCCTACAGTGTAGCATGGTGGTGGCGGCTCAGTGACACTCTGGGACTGCTTCGCTTCCTCTGGCACTAGAAACCTGGAGTGTGTGGAGGGCGAGATGGATTCAATCAAGTACCGTATTTTCCGGATTATAGGGCGCGCTCATAAACCTCCAACTCGATCAAAAAACGACTGCGCGCCCCACAATCCAGAGCGCCCTATACACGAATCCACTCGGGTGTCCCAGCACGACTTCAGTAAACTACAAAGCCGCAACACCCGCGGTGCACGCAAACACACACAGAGCAGACAGCGACTGCGCACCAAAACACACCCACAGCCACACTCATCACTCCACGCCGACGAGGAGTGGAATGGAATGGAGGAACGAACCCAAAAAGCGAGTGCAATGTGCCACTTCTAGACACAACTGAACAACTGAGTCACTGCGAACACGCCGACAATCCGTTGGTCCCAGACAGCACCCTCCCTACACGCCACAACTGAACAAAGCCCAGAGTCACCGTGAACGCACCAAACAAACAAAACCACTCACCCATCCAACTGTTGGGTTTCGTTTGAAGTCCAGTGCGGTTTATTTGTGAAAAAAGTTTGAAAATAGACCATTTAATGACAGTGCACCATCTAATCCAGAACACCTAATAGTGCAGAAAATGCAATATCAGGAAATCCTGGGAGAAAATGTCGTCTGTGAGGAAACTGAAGGTTAGGCATCACTGGACCTTCCAACAGGACAATGATGCCAAGCATACCTAAAAGAAGAAGTCCTGGAAGATACTAGAGTGGCCCATCACAGTCGCCCGACTTGAACCCCATTGAAAATCTTTGGTGAGATTTGAAATAGATGGTTGCAGCACACAAACCCAAGAATTTTAGTGAACTGGAGGCCTTTGCCCATGGGCTAAGATTCCTCAGGAACGCTGCCAAGCTGGTGTCTGCTTATGCATCACGTTTGCAGCAGGTCATAACAGCAAAAGGTGCTCTACTAAGTACTACATGCTTGTCATGAAGAGGTTGAATCATTTTGAGACTGCAGTAGTCATTAAAAGTAGCATTTTGTGCTGAATTTGAAGAAACCACTTGTAATATTAGTTGTGTTGAGCTATTTAAATTGTCTTGTTTGATTTATTTTTTGTAAACAGCTGCTAGTTTGTAGCCAGGCTGGTGCCACCTAGTGCCTCTGCTCAATTTCATTTCTCTCCAGCAACTAGGTCAGGAATCAGAATACAATAGATGATTCGCAAAAACCCTGGAAGTGCAAGTTCGGGCACCAGCCAATCAGGGAAGAGTGATATATTTAGTGTTGTCAACGATTCCTGAGATCGAAGATTTAAAGCCAGAATAAAGAGAATATTTGGTGAATTTTATCAAGGGGAAAGACATTATTGTCCTTCCTACAGGGTTTGGGAAAAGCTTAATATAGCAGTTAACCCCATTAGCGTCTCTTTACATACGTCACGTTGAGCGAATGGAATCTAAGGCTGACGGTTTGTACTAAGTAAAACGAAGTAAAACCGGCTGATGAATCAGGCTAGCTAGTTTGTACATTTTACCAATAAACCTAATTTACAGTGAGGGTTGAATCATTTTGATTGCAACTGTACGTGGTGTTCCAAAGAAAACCACGGAATGAAGGAGTAAACCTGAGGGAGGTGACATCAGATAAAAGAATCAAACTTTACTGGTGAAGAGTTCAGATCCTTTCTCCTTGCTGTGTCTCGTCTGCGGGCGGGACTTCCTCACCCATTTCCTGCAGAGTCAAGGAGAGGAAGCAAGGAAAGAGGAAAAGAGAAATCAGATGCCAGTGAGTGCTCTTGGCTCACGTTGATGATGGCGTCGGTCTGTATGTAGTCCAGGTCTGAGTCCTTAAAGCCCAGCTCCTGTCCGGTCCTCTGCGCTGTGCTGATGATGCCTGTGGTCACTGTGTTCTGGAGGGAGAAGGGAGATCCCACCGCCACCACGAACTCCCCGGGACGCAGGTCTGAGGACTGGCCCAGGCGCAGCACCGGCAGGGGGCTCTGGAGGGGGAGAGGAGAAAAAGGTTACTGTGGATAGAGTGTGGTTGTGGTAGAATTTAAAGTTGTTATTTCAGAAAGAGGGGCAAGAGTTTTTAGGTTTAAAAGTGCATTGTGTAAGTTTTCTGGCGCAGGGCCCCTCAAATGCTTTTCTCCATAGAGATGTTATTGCTTTGTCTGGAATGTTTCACAGTTTCTGTCTTCATGGGGACTAAACCAGACCAAGTTACAGGTACAAGTATAAAAAGACATCAACAGTGTCACAATATCAAACATACAAGAAATGAATGAAAAGGAGCAGAAAGAAGAGTCATCTTACGTTATCTGCTCACTTTTCTCTTTACAAGACAAAACATCAACAACGATAGTTACTAAACATTTCAAATCAGTGCATTTCAGTTCAGATACAATTATTAATCAGTTACAAACAGAAATCAGATCTGAGACTAGACACTTCACAATCTATTAAAAAAAAAACAAAAAAAAACAACTGTTGTGCGCTGTGTGTTATATATGTATATTATTTATCCGATACCTGATAGGAACATAACGTCCGAGTCCGGCTCGGTTCAGCCGGCTCGTGATCAGGACAACCCTAAATGTGATATATAAATAAAGTGGATAGGATTGGATAAAAAATGCACATCCATGCGTACGGTGATAGGGCGTGCATCTCCACAAACCACAGTTCTCCATCTCCATGGAGAATGTTCCAAAGTGACTGTATGCACGATTGTGATTATAAATGCCTGAAAACATGAAATATACGTTTCCAGGCCTGCCCTGGAATGGTTTAGACTGGCCCTACAGTACATCTTGGACCTCACCCCCGTATGTGCTCTGAGGTCCGATGTGCAGCTCCAGCTCGTGAGGCCTAATACGAGATTTAAAACCAGGGGGTACAAGGCCTTTTCTGTGGCCGGCCCCAAACTCTGGAACACTCTGCCCTCCCCACGTCCCAACAGTCCCCAAAGTGGAGAGTTTAAGTCTCGTCTTAAAGGGATAGTTCGGATTTTTTTACATAAATCTGTATGCCATCCCCATCATCAGTGTTGTGCATCCACACCGACTTACCCCCCGAAAGTGTCCGGTGAGTCGAGATACTGGCCGTTTTGGTGCTGAGGAAAGTAGTTCGGCAAGTTGTGTGGGGACTGTATACTAAAGCGTTTTTCTTTCTCAAAGCAATATTTGTTCAAAAGAGTGATACATTTGCATCACAAAACCATTGTCGCCAAAAAAGTCAGATCTCATAATCGCTTGGCGCTATTTTCTCTCCGTACGTACCACTGCGCGCGGCTGTCACGGATCCATCACTTTCTTCAGTTGTTCGGCAGTGTTTACATGCGCAGACCGCCGCCACGCGAGAGAGCTAACGAGAGAGCTAGAGCCATAAGTATATGAGCTTGTATAAGATACATATGAATATATCTAAAAAATGGTGCGAACTCTTGATTCTCCAGGCTGTAACAACAAAAATCTGGCTGAATCTCCACGCACATTTCACCGTTTTCCTGTCACGGACTTTGCGCTGAGGAAACTTTGGCTTCTTGTCTTTGGCTTCAATGTGGAAACGAAACCAGGTAAGAACGAAGAAGTGCCGCTGTGTTTACAAGAGAACAGACTCAAGAATCAGCTGTAACTCTGTGTGCAGTAAATCACTCCGTGTCATATCACCAGTGAAGCTTCTACAAAACGTAACTTTATAAGTCGACTGTTATTACTATTGTAAATGTCACGTACACTATTGGCAGCAGCTACGTGGACGTGTGAATGATTCTATGTTTCTATTAGTCGTCCATACTTCAGTCACAGTGTCGGCTCTATGTTCGCTGTATATGAGTTTATAAATGACGTGATGGTGATTGTCGCTCACTCGGTCTCTCACGGCTCCAGCTTCAACTTGTACCACTTCTCTGTCTTTTCTCTCTCTCTCTGCTCGTTCTAACTCCATCTGGTGAATTTCAGCATCAGTATATTCGGGTTCACAAAGATCTCCCCTTGGGTTTGTGGTAAAGGCAAAGTCTTTATTGTCGGTGTCATAATCAGACATGTTGTCGCTAACATTCCGAGCAGTAAACAAAGTGAACCAGGCTCATATACTTATGGCTCTAGCTCTCTCGTTAGCTCTCTCGCGTGGCGGCGGTCTGCGCATGTAAACACTGCCGAACAACTGAAGAAAGTGATGGATCGGTGCGCGGCTGTCACCTGGCGGCCGCGCGCAGTGGTACGTACGGAGAGAAAATAGCGCCAAGCGATTATGAGATCTGACTTTATCGGCGACAATGGTTTTGTGATGCAAATGTATCACTCTTTTGAACAAATATTGCTTTGAGAGAAAAACGCTTTAGTATACAGTCCCCACACAACTTGCCGAACTACTTTCCTCAGCACCAAAACGGGCCAGTATCTCGGCTCACCGGACGCTTTCGGGGGGTAAGTCAGTGTGGATGCACAACACTGATGACGGGGATGCCATACAGATTTATGTCAAAAAATCCGAACTATTCCTTTAAGACCCACTTTTATTCTCTGGCTTTTAACAATGCATGAGCTGTGTGGTCCTCTGTGACTTTTATTTTATTTATGTTTATCTTTTTATTTTTTTAGTACTGCTTTTATGCATTGATTTTATTATTTTGGTTTAATTGACTTTATGATTATTATTTTATTGATTGACTCTATTAGTTCTCTCATGGTTGGAATACAATTCTGCTGATTTATTAATTTTTTTTTAAGTATAATGTAAAGCACTTTGGAAACTGTCTTGTTTATAAAATGTGCTACACAAATAAAGTTGGACTGGATTCTGAGAATGAGAAAAACCTCTATCTGTCCTCTGGCTGCAGGTTAAAACTCTAGCAACTCAGGTTCAGTTGTAGTTTTGTTTGAGCAATGGCCCTGGCTCACACTGTCATTTACAATTGGTCAGTTTAAATTCTTTTTTAAATTCCTCTTTTTGAATGATTTCAAAAAGAGCAGAGAAAGAGAAGAATTTTATTGAGCTACAGTGAAGATTTCTTTTATACTAAATATTATAAATACTTCAATAAAGTGCAATTGTCAACCACAGTAAGACCTGCAGTAAATAAATGACATAACTGAAAATAGAAGAATCTGCGAGGACACAACAAACCCGTGCGCGGCAATATGTATTTATCCGCCACAGTCTCAATACAAGCGCATGTTTTTCCTAACTGATAATTATTTCGCTCAAGGTTTTCACATTCAGAACACTGTTACCTTGTGCCGTCCTTGAAGAGAAGTAAAACGCTTTAACACCGTCATTTCCACTGAGTAATACACCGTCTCTAACACAAACGCAGCCTTATCGACAAGTTGGATAACAATGTTCTCATATAGAAACGCGGCAGAAAGCACAATGCCAGAGTCTGTTCCCAACACCTATCAGATCAGAATAAAATGCAATTAGCAGCTGTCATACTTGTAATGTCTTCTCCTCTGCTTTTTTACAAATTAAAAATTTGATTGGAACTTCACTTTCTGTAAGGCAAGAATGTAGAACTCATTTTGGTGGCTATATTTATTTTAAAGTCCTTCCATCCAATTTTTTCATATTTAAAAGCCGGTTTTGACTTCGTTTCACTTCGTACAAACTGTCTGACCTCGCAGCCTTAGATTTCGTTCGCTTGACGGGAGGCGGGTACCGTATTTTCCGGGCTATTAGGCCCTCTGGATTATAAAGCGTCATTAAATGGTCTATTTTCTAACTTTTTTCACAAATAAACCGCACCGGACTTTAAACGAAACACAACAGTTGGATGGGTCAGTGGGACTTTGTTTGGTGCGTTCACGGTGACTCTGGGCTTTGTTCAGTTGTGGCGTGTAGGGAGGGTGCTGTCTGGGACCGCTAGATTGTCGGCACTTTAGCAGTGATTCAGTTGTTCAGTTGGGTCTAGAAGTGGCACATTGCACTCACTTTTTCGGTTCATTCTTCCGTTCCGTTCCTCGTCGGCGTGGAGTGATGAGTGTGTCTGTGGGTGTTTTTCACTGCGCGGTCGCTGTCTGCTCCGTGTGTGTTTGTGTGCGCTGCGGCTTTGTAGTTTACTGAAGTCGTGCTGGGACACCCGAGTGGATTCGTGTATAGGGCGCTCTGGATTGTGAGGCGCGCGGTCATTTTTGATGGGGTTGGAGGCTTAAGAGCGTGTTTAATAGCCCGGAAAATACCGTACTTTTTAATAATTTAACCAATCGCAGCTATTTGGTCGTGACATATGTAATGCGCCACTAACTGGGTTAACTGGTGTAAGCTTTTCCCAAATCCTGTAGGAAGAAGGACAATAACGTCTTTCCCCTTTATGAAATTCACCAAACATTTTCTTTGTTCCGGCTTTAAATCCTCGATCTCGGGAATTGTTGACAACACTGAATATATGGCTCTTTGCTGATTGGCTGGTCCTGGTTTAGACCTGGTTTAGTCCTGGTTTAGTCCTGGTTTAGTCCTGGTTTAGACCTGGTTTAGTCCTGGTTTAGACCTGGTTTAGTCCTGGTTTAGTCCTGGTTTAGACCTGGTTTAGACCTGGTTTAGTTCTGGTTTAGTCCTGGTTTAGTTCTGGTTTAGACCTGGTTTAGACCTGGTTTAGTCCTGTTTTAGTTCTGGTTTAGACCTGGTTTAGACCTGGTTTAGTCCTGGTTTAGACCTGGTTTAGACCTGGTTTAGACCTGGTTTAGTCCTGGTTTAGACCTGGTTTAGACCTGGTTTAGACCTGGTTTTAGTCCTGGTTTAGACCTGGTTTAGACCTGTTTAGACCTGGTTTAGTCCTGTTTTAGTCCTGGTTTACCTGTTTAGTTTACTGGTTTAGTCCTGGTTTTAGTCCTGGTTTAGTCCTGGTTTTAGTCCTGGTTTTAGTCCTGGTTTAGTCCTGGTTTTAGTCCTGGTTTAGTCCTGGTTTTAGTCCTGGTTTTAGTCCTGGTTTTAGTCCTGGTTTAGTCCTGGTTTTAGTCCTGGTTTTAGTCCTGGTTTTAGTCCTGGTTTTAGTCTGGTT